GGGTGGGGGTGGGGGCGGGGACGGGAGGTGTACCCAGCGGCGGGAGGTGGTGTAGGCGGCGTTATACTGTCCCGCTCTGGGACAGTGCACCCGGGTGATAGTGGCGTGAAACGAAAACGGAGTTTCCTTTCCAAGCAAGGACCCCCTCTGCCCGGCCAGGGAGCAGAAGAGAGCAAGGTTGCTGGACCCAGGGCCTGCGTTGCTCTTCCTGACATCGCCATTTTTTGAGTCCGTTTCTCTGCCAGACTATGGGAATTTTCCTGGCATTCTTCCAGAAAACCCCAGTCTCTCTGGGCTAATCCAAAGGGAGCCAAAGGAAGAGGGGTAAGCAGACATCTGGGTGAGCAGTAAGCAGTTCACCGCAGTGGGTCAGGTGAGGTGAGGCTACATTAAGAATGCAAGAGAGTCTCCCTGCCCCAGGGAGGAACCAGGAAAGGCCAAAGGAGAGTGGAAGAATAAATTTCGACCCCCTCCCCCAGAACAGAATGGAGCCCTGGAATACAAAGCAACTGCCAGAGCATCCACTGAGGAACAACGCGCTGACTGGTGTCTAGTGAAAGAAAGGATGGTCTGATGCCGAAGTCCTCAGCATCTTAATGCCATTGGCTCTTCCTCTGTCCTATGGACAGAACCCCTTCAACAGGCTGCTTGGGGCTTAATAGTAAAAGTGTGGAGCTAGCCTTGAACCATACCCCCATGCCTGATCCCCTACCTAAGGCTGGGAGACTGGGATGCTCCAGAGAGGGACTTAGGGAGGCAGTCTGGACCAGCCAAGGGGGTATGGGCTCTGTACATTCTGACCCCTCAATGTGACCTGGAGTAAGTCACTTGGCCTCTCTGGGCCTCAGATTCCTCGTGCATAAACAAGGATAGCAGTATTGGCTTCGGGGCCAGGCAGGCTGGGTTGTGAATCTGGCTGCCCAGTAGCCATATGACCAACCTCAGGCCACTCAGCCTTTCTGAGCATTGGACTCTTCCTCCTCTGTGAAGTGAGAAAGATGTTGCCCACTCTGCAGGGTGGTTGTTCATAAGCACTTAGCACATGTTAAGTAGTCAAGTGTTGCTCCCCTCTCTGCCCATACCTGGGAATGCTGGTGAGAGAAGGGGGGTGATTACTGGTAGAGTTAGTCATCAGAAGTGTTTGTGGCAGTGCCAATTGTTTCCTACTTTGTTGGAAATGCTATTCCTCATCTTCTGTTTCCAATCACCTTCTCCCTCACCCAGTTCTCTGTCACTCCACTAAGATTCTTGAATGTGTGAAATAAGAGGGTTCTGAGGCTTCAGAATGACTGTAAAGCCTGGGCATGCCCCTGTCTGCCTTCAGCTCCCACTGGCAGTTCCCCGGGCACACTCATCGGCCACACACACCCAGTCCACACGCACTCACACATCCACGTCGCACAAGTTGCAGTGCAGGTCTTCAATGACGTGTGCATGTTGGCTGCGGTTGAAGATGGGCAGGGGCCCAGCATAGCTCTTGTCCCGCACATTGGCATCTGCTGGGTCGATGGAAACAGCAGTCAGGTGCACCACGAGGTGACCAGCAAAGATGGCGCCCATGCACTGGCCCAACAGGTTAAAGACTCACTCCACACTGCCGGCTGAGAGCCCCACTTCTGCTTCCTGTGGCCAGAGAACTGCTCTCTACCTACATGTGACTCCCCAGTGCAGAGACTCTCTGCCTGTGCCACCTCCTACCTGTGCCACCTCATACCTGCGCCCCATATGGAAGAGCAGAAGGGCTATCTGGTAATGGAGCTCACAAGCCAGCACTGCCTGCTGCTGCTGAGGAGACCAACTATAGGGCCCTGGCCTAACTAATCCAGGCCTGGCGTAGGCCCTGGCTGATCTTACCTCAGAATCTGACCTGGTTTCCGATTCTAAATGGTGAAATGAGACTGAAAGAGATCATCCTTTAAAGGTTGAAGGACCCAAAATATAAGTTCTAAGCTTGTTTATCTTGCTGTCACAGGAAGTCAGCTCTGAGAAGGAAGAAGACATCCTCTTCCAGGCCAGTTGGAGAATCACTTGCAGACAGGGCCTCATATATCCACTGCCTCCCCAATCTAGAGTCCAGGTACTTGGAGGCCTGGGGCTGAATGTCTGGGATGGTCTAACATGTTCAGGGGCTGGCCAGGGGGCAGCATGGCTAATTCCTGAAACACAGATCTTCCAGGATCTATCTGCTCAGCAGTTAGACCAAATGCTGGACACAGTATGCTGACAACTTACTGCAAAGTGAATGTGTAAAACTTCACTAATAGACTCCACCCAGGCAGCCATCCACCCTCCATCTAGCTATCTGTTGATCCATCCATCCATCCTCTTGCTAGCCAAGTAGACATCATCTCTCCATCACTTATCCTCCATCCATCAGCTGTCCAACCTCCTTTTTTTCTTCCTCTTCCTAGCAGCCAAATTTTCCTACATGTCTGCAGGAGCCAGGCTCCACCCTAATGTGCTATACCAGAGCTGAAAGAGACAATCCTGTGGCCCAACACAACCTCTCTATCCCTACGGCCCTGGCTGTGGGTCAGGCTGTCACCGCTTGCCTGGGTTATTCCATAGTCTCCTGACTCTGCTTCTCATGTCTGCGTCCCCTTGAGTACCCTTTTCTTGGGTAGTGAGCTCTGAAAAGCTTAAACCTAAAGCCTTGACTACTTAAACTCCTGCAGTGGCTCTCAAGCTAAAGTTTACTCTTCAGCTCAGTGTTCACGGCCCCTTTTCCTCTGGATCCTCTCAAACCTCTCTGGTATCACCAACCACTACTCCTTACCATTCCAGGCTCTCTTCAGACACACTGAATGTGGGCAAACATTTAGTTTCCTGCCTGCTCCAACACTTCTTCCCTCCCCCCCCACCCCCCTGGTTCATTCATTCAGCTATTTACTGAGGTCTTGCTCTATGCCAGGCACTGAGGATATGGCAGGAGCAAGACAGACTTGGTCCCTAGCCCCAAGGAGCCTACAGTCTGGCAGAAAACACAGAGGTTAATCAAAGAGTAGGTTGATTGCAATAACGAAAGTTCAGGGGACTATGTGAGTTTGTAACTGGGTGACCTCGTCTAGTCTGAAGGGATCTGGAAAGTTTCCCTGAGGAAGTATCATCTCAGCTGAGACTTAGAGAGAAACAGATAGATAACAGGAACATGGCAGGTAATATAAAGAGGAAAGGGGGCCTGGCTGGGTACTGGGAACAAGCAGAGTCCCAACTAGATGTGTGGTTCCAGCTCAGCTTATTGGTGCCATGCAAGAAAGAGAGCCCATGTCACCAAATTCTGGCTTTTCAGAAGGAACCAGAAATATGGATTTGTATCTGGATATATGAGGCGTCTCATTTTTAAAATGCTGACAAGGAAATAAATAATTTTTTAAATGTACCTGCCAAAGAAACACTTAAGATATGTCCATTTTGTGTGTTCGTTATCCCTCAATTAAAAAAAAAATCTGTAGGCCAAACTGGCCCATGGGCTGCTAGGTCTTGACTTCTAACTTAGCTGGGTATTGGGGTGGAGAGAGAGGCTAGGAGCTTCCAGGCAGAGACCGGTGTTGTTGCAACAGAGAACAACAGAGGAAATAAAATAAGAAGATGCTGGGGAGATAAGCAGAGTCCAGAATGTGGAGAGCCGTGATGATCTTGAACCTTAAGGCAGGAAGAAGCTATTAGAGGGTGTTAAGCTGGGGAGTAACTTTATCATATTTATTTTTTGAAAGGGCACTCTGGCTGCAGGGATAGAGATGGACTGGCCGGGGTGACAGCATGTGTGGGGAGACCTGTTTGGAAACGAAATGGTCATCTAGGTAAAAGAGGCAGATGGCAGTGGGGAGAAAAGAGGGCAAATACAATAGATTTTTAGGAGGCAAAATCAACAGGGCTTGATGACTGACTGGATATAGGTGATGAAGGAAAGGGGCGGAGCCAAGAGTACCTAGAGAGGCCAGGAAGAAGGAAGGAGGGGAGCTGAGAGCAACAGGTATGCATCTGGGTGGTGATGTTGGTCTACATGGCCCTCCTCCTGCACCCACAGTCTGCTGTATGAATCCCTACCCCCATACTTACCATGTGATGCTCTCCAATCTACAAGGCTTTCCTCCTGTTGGAAGTGGAACACCTAGAGCTGGGGCCCTGTTTTACCCATCTTTGCAACCCTAGGGCCCAGGCAAGTTCTAGGTGCAAGGTGAGTGCTTGGTACACACCCTTACCCTACCTCATTCTGCAGGGGCCCCTGAGGGAGCCTGCAGAAGGAAGGTAGCTTTGATGGGAGGACAGAGAACCATTCAGGCCTGGAAATGGGAGTGCCAAACCAGGTGGTTCTATGAGCCTCCAGCATTGCCCAAAGCAATAAATATGGGGAGAACAAAACCCTCAAACCATCCCACTGCCTCAGAGTCAGACTGCCTGAGCAGTCCTTCTGGCCTCACTGGGTAGCAGTTGTGTGACCTCGGAAGTCATTTAATCTCTCTGAGGGCTTCCCTGGTGGCACAGTGGTTAAGAATCTGCCTGCCAAGGCAGGGGACACGGGTTTGAGCCCTGGGCCGGGAAGATACCACATGCCGCGGAGCAACTAAGTCCGTGTGCCACAACTACTGAGCCTGCGCTCTAGAACCTGCGAGCCACAACTACTGAGCCCGCATGCCACAAGTACTGAGCCCACGTGCCACAACTACTGAAGCCTGAGCGCCTAGAGCCCATGCTCCGCAACAAGAGAAGCCACCACATGAGAAGCCCTCGCACCGCAATGAAGAGTAGCTCCTGCTTGCCGCAACCAGAGGAAAGCCCACGTGCAGCAACAAAGACCCAACACAGCCAAAAATAAAATAAATAAAAATTAAAAAAAAAAACTTTATAATCTCTCTGAGCCCCAGTTTCTTTTATGAAAGTGGGGAGAACACCTTCCTTACAGATTATTATGAGAGTTGAACAAGATCATCCATGTATAGGGGTTGGCACAGTGCCTGGCACATATAAGTGCTCAATAAATGCTAGTTACTCTTGGTTACTGTTATTTGCTCTGATTCTGCTCACTCCAAAACATGTGGTTATTAATCTGGCTTCCCAGGTACCCTGATGGCAGAAAGCCAGGTAGTCCCGAGTGAGTGGTGTACCCATTCCGGATCATGGGAGGAATGTTCCATGAAGCATTCTACTTAATAGCACTGACTAAGCCCTGCTGGTCACCTCAGAGAAAGTCTAGTTTTCATGTACAAAGTTGATGACTAGGCCCTGGGCCCCGGTGAACCAGGAAGCCCCTCAGTGACACTGCTGGCGTCGGAGACCAACAACCTTCTCTAGAGTCTTTCTCCACCAACCTGCCCTGGCTACCCACCAGCCAAGGGCTCTATGGTTTCCCAAGAGAGCATGCTCACATACATGGCTCATACGTTCTGGTGCTCACACACACACATCCTTGTGTGCTCATTGTCCCCTGCCTGGAAAGCAGGCAGGACTCCTCCTGTCAGATAGAGGAGGAGGCTAAGATGCGGAGAGCTGGCAGAAGCTGCTCAGCCTTGTGCAGCTCTGAAAGGGCTGAGTTGAAGGGTGCTGACTCTACGCCTGAGACTTTCAAATTCACCCCTGCTAACTCCTTTAGCTCACCCTAGGCCACCTTCTCCCAGAGGCCCAAAGAATCATCTCCATGAAGCACACACACCAAGGCACACTCTCATGGGCACCCTCTGGACTGGGGCACATGGCCACATGCTGCCCCTCAATCGCCCAGACTTGCAGCCACATCCTCTGCTCCTGGGGGTTGTAGCCAGGACTGGGGCAGTCACATCACTAAGTTCAGGCAAGCTCATGTTTGTCACAATTCCCAGGAGCTTCCAGGGCATATTTATCCCTCCTCTTGTCAATTCAACCTTACCCTAAAAGAGTCTGATTTATAAAATCAATGAGCTCCTAAACAGTCCTGGGTACAGCATAATAATCTCTGTAAATAAAACCATATTTTAAATGTACCAGGAAACTTACCATGTAAAGGAATTCTACCATTATTCTTTCCAAAAAGTGAAAAAATATTTCATAAATGGAATAAGGTACTCTCTTTTATCCCTTGTTGAGCTCTGGACACAATTAGCTTAAAGAGAGCTTTAAGGTTCTCTTCTGTAATTGCTCTTGTGGTACCTCAGTTGATGAGGTTCCCATCTGTGTGGGGCTTTCAATGCTCCAAGGTTCGTTAGGCCTGTTCCCTCACCCAATCAGGCAGAGGGGTCAGATGGGGGTTGGAGGCCAGGCAGGTAGGCAACTGGTCCCCCCAGGCAGAGACAGGGCCCATCTGCACTCTCTGAGGCTCTGGAACCCAGCTTCAGGCCTCGCCCATGTCCCTCCATCCATTGTCCCCACTCTTCTATGTACCAGTCCCACACTTTCCCAAGGATACAGTATAGCCAGCAGGCACCCAGTGGTGAGGCAGGAGGGGAACAAGGACCCCAAAGCCAATCACAGCAAAGAAGAGGTACAGCAGCCAGGCCACAATCTGGAGCGGGTGAGGGGGCCAGCTCCACCCATTCCGGCGGGACCGCTGGCCCTGCAGCTCCAGGGAGGGTCCACTGGCCTGTGCAGGTGCTGTCCACACATTCTTCTCAGGGGCTGTCTTGTTAGAGGGCCTGTTGCAGATGTTCATCTCCAGAGGGAGAAAGGGTAGAAAGATCATTAGCCTGAGGAGGCCCAGGCTGGAGCCCAGAGCCCTGTGCCTGCAGTCAGGTTTCAGCAGGGGGGGCAGGCTGGTATGTGAAGCCATCTCCAGCTACTCTGCAGGGGAATCCGGGGCCCTAGCATGAGGAGCCTGGCAGTGAGGGAGGATGGCAGTAGACTGCTAGTCTCAAAGCCCCAGAGCAAGTTCCGGCCCCAGTCCTAGCCAGGACAAGGTAGGAAGGTCCAGGGTTTATTCAGCTCACAGTGTGACTGCCTGTTATTCTGCTCTGTCTCCAAGCCATCAGAGTTAAACCCAATAAGACATGTTCTCATCTGGTAACAATATCAGGCTGAGGCCAGAGCGATGAGAACACATGCTGACTCTGTCAGGATTAGTCACCTCTGTCCTGAGGCCCAAATGCAAGTGTCAGAGAGGGCCCCGTTACACTTTGCTTAGGGAAACAGGGAGTGGAGGTGTTCAAAAGAGGGACCTGGCCTCTGCCCCTCAGCAAGCATGTAATCCCTTTAAGGACTAGGGAACCCTGAACCATCTCCCCTGTGCCTCAGATAAGCCACCTGGGGCTTCTTGGCTGGAGAGAAGCCAGCACACAAGAGAGGGGAGGAATCCTCATTGGTTCCCTCCAGCAGTGGAAATGACCATGTTTCTCTAAGTAAATGTGGGCCTGGTACAGTGAGAACAAAAAGGTGAGCTGATGCCTTTGACTCACTTGAGGGAGTTCAGGGAGACAGGCCTTGGCCAGAGCCAAACCACCAGATGGCAGCACTCTTTAGCCCCATCCCACCATCGCTCAGCCCAAGAGCTGACTCAGTGGTCAAAGATACATGCAGGGCAGATGGGTAGGCCTGTCATTACGGGAGAAAGAGCCCAACCCCAGTATCTTCTGGGCCTGAGGTGGGACCAGAGCCTGGGCAGGCAGTGCCCCACCTGGGTAGACAGGCCAACTCGGAGCTCTTGGTGGGAAGGTCAAGAGCTGCAGAAAAAACCCTGGCAGCTGGACTCTCCTTTCAGGAGTCCACGCCTGTTGGCCAGGGAGTCTGACTAAGCCAAAGGGTATGGCAGACCCTGCTCAGCACATCTGCCTTGAACACCTTCCTCACTTCTAAACCCAACAAAATGTGACCTGACCTTCAGAGCCCACTGCAAGCATCACCTCATCCAGGAAGCCTTCCCTGATGTCCCAAGTTAGTCAGGGGGCCCTCACACTCAGTCTTTATTGGGCGTCACTTTGCTGTTTGGAACACTTTGCCATCTCCATGTCTGCTCCCCTGTTATGCCAGCTCCCCCTAAGGGCAGCAAAGGTACTGTGATCCATTCACCTCTGTTCCCCACAACCCCTCCCCCAAGCACCCAGAACATACCTTGTACATAGTAGGTGCTCAGTAAATGTTTTCTGACTTGAAAACATCTGAAATAAAAGGAAATGTGGGCACGGTAAATGATGAGGAATCCTGACTCACCCAAAGCCATTTGGCCCGTTCTGCCCTGCCTTCAATCTGCACAGTTGCCAGGCACCCATACCCCCCCCACCCCACCCCACGCCAGCCCCATGGCTGTTACCCTAGCTACCAGACACTCACACTCAGCCACTCTGCCCTTCATCCCACCTGAGGCCCAGAGCCTCCTGTAAACCAAACTTGGAGAGTCTGAGTAGCCTCATCACAAAGCTAAATGGAGTGACCCTAGTTTTCTCCCAGGGACTCCACTGGAATTCTTTGGTCATTTGCTTTGTCTTCAGTAAAAAGCAATGAAAGGTGAAAAAAGAGCCCCAGCTTTGGAGGAAACAGATCTAGGTTCAAGTCCTGGTTCTTCACTTACTAGTTGAGTGGCTTGAGTTTCTTCATCTGAAAAACAGGGGTAGGGATGCCTACCTAGGGCTGTATATAGATCAGCAAAACTGTAGGTAAAGCGTTGACACATAAATGTTCCCTAAATGGTAGACGTTATGATTACCTTTAAAATAGCCCTCTGGGGTGTCCTCATCTCTCCAGACTGAGGAGGCTACTGCATCTGATATTCTGTGAGGTTTTATGAGGTTATGCCCAAAGTGATGGGGTTGGTTCAAGTTGCTTTCTTAAGTCAGTAGTCCCTAGGAACACACTGTCATAAGAGCTGGGCCACTGGATTGTCATTCTAAACTTCTCAGCTTTGATCAAAGATGACAAAGGTGATCAAAAAGCTGGCCTCACTTTATTTGGAATGTCCCCAGAGGTGGCAAATCTTTGTCCTTGATTTTTGGGAACAAAGATCATCCGGTCAAGCCCAGTGTATACAGTTGATCTGGGCAGTTCTGCTCAGGAGGACAAATCCCTGTGGCTTCCACATAGGTTCTCCAGCCATATCACTAGGGCAGCTTCTTTGAAGGGAACCCATTAATGGGGATTCTTAAGTCCTGACTTTCTCTTTGCCATCCTCACACCTGAATAACCCAACACCTTGAGGTAGTTTATAAAGAAAGAAGCAGAGGTACGTGGCTGGCTGACAGGTCCCCACTGCCGGAGTGGGCTGGCAGTGGCCACAGACACCCCCGGTGCTGCTGCATCCCTGACACCTGAGGCAGGAGGAGTCACCACCTGAGGCCAGGGGCCTACCACAAACAGCCTTAGGGGTTGCTCTGATACCAAACCCCAGTACCCTTGGCCCAGAGAGGTACCACTTGTATGAGACCATGGATGAGGGGATGGTGCTGCTGGGTCTAAGTCCCTTGCAGGGGTGGCAGCCTTGTACCATGCCACCTGCAACCAAAGCCCGAGACAACCAACTCTTAACTGATGACATTTTCCCTTGTGGAGTTGGTGGCCACAAATTCTTTTGGCCCCAAAAATTTTGATTAAAAGGGCTTGGAGGGGCTTCCCTGGTGGCGCAGTGGTTGAGAATCCGCCTGCCGATGCAGGGGACACGGGTTCGTGCCCTGGGCCGGGAGGATCTCACGTGCCCCGGAGCCTGTGCTCCGCAAATGGGAGAGGCCACAACAGTGAGAGGCCCGCATAACGCAAGAAAAAAAAAAAAAAAAAAAAAGGGCTTGGAGGTAGGAGAGAATCCAAGATGAGGCTTCAAGCATGGATGGGACCAGGCACTGTCACCAGACCCAGGGACTTCTCTGGCTGTCCTACCCCTCAGCGCTTCCCTAGGAGACCAGATTAAAAGATGCACGGTTCTGCTACCAGACAACATGGCCAGCTTGTGCGCTCATGCCTTGGCCCAGTCAGTGCTTATTGCGGTCCAGCCCCCTTGTGCGTTAAAGATGTAAACACAGATGAGACCATGTTCCTGCCCTCAGGGGCTTGCTTTCTGGGGGCCCAGACAGATTTCAAGGAAGTGGGTGAATGGGTATTCTGGCAGTCCTGCAAGCGCCAGCCATTCAGTATGGCAAGATCCAGAGAGAGAGAGAGAGAGAGAGAGAGAGAGAGAGAGAGAGAGAGAGAGGGAGAGAGATGAGCCCTGGGAAGTTGCAGGGTCAGATCCTAGGTTGAAACCAAGTGCCCCTAAAACCAAGTTCCCTTACCAAGATTATGATTAATCTCTCTATCCAAAACTTTATTCCCTTTCAAGTCACCTCTGACCTCAATCCTGTGCTAACTGAACACTAAACAACCAGAGTCACATGACTAAAACTGCTGTTGTCGATGACATCATTAATGTACTAAAATTGCTACTATAGATGTCATCATTAATGTACAAACTCAGGTTGTTTCTCCAGGGCAAGATGAGCTAACAGATCCCTGAGCCATGGACCACCTGGCCAAAGAATCATAAACCAGAGACATTCTGACTCCTGAAACTACAATTAAGAAATGTCACAAAAATGTCACAGGACAACGATTAATCCCAGCCTCTTTGTTCTCCTCCCTCCCCCCACCAAAAAAAAAAAAGGAAAATTCTAACTCAAAGACCAAGCTGGAGTGGACCTGAGGCATGTCTCCCACTCCCTTTGCTTGGCATCCTGCAGTAAACACTGTACTTGCCTTCACCACAGCCTGGTGTCAGCAGATTGGCTTTGCTACGTGTTGGGCAAGCAGATCCGACTTTGGTTCAGTAACAAGGTGATCACAGGAGGCCAGGTGAGTAAGTTTAGGCACTGTTGAAAGAGCCACAGGGAATCACAGAAAGTTTAAACAGGGGAGTTGACATAAAGGTGATGGGTGTTTTAGGAAGGTTTCTATTCACACTGGGAAGGAGGGCATGAGCAAGAAGCGAAAAGGCATGGGGGGAGGTGACACCACAGCAGGCTGGCCTAGGGAGGGCAGCAGCCCAGCAGCCCTGTGTATTGGGAGGAGTTGGGTGGGAAGCGGGGGTCAAGCCCACAAGCTCCCTGATGCCCTGCTGCATCTTTGGTGGGCTGAGAGGTATGTGGACCTTGACAAAAGATTCTCAAGTACCTTCTGCTGCCACGAACAAACAACAGAGTTAAGCTGGTAGAGACACTCCACCCCGTGGAGTGTTAGGCCAAAGGTAGCCACTGCCCTGGTAAGCCAAGGGCCCACCTGGCTTCTGAGGCAGGCTGGAGGGCCTGTGCATGTCCCTTCCTGTCCCAACAAGGGGAAGGCCATTGCTAGGATGACAATAATCTATGTTAACATTGACTTGCTAAAAGTCTAAAATAGCATTTTCCAAATAAGGTTAGGCTACCTTAATTTATATGCCTAATTTAAGTGAGGAAAATCTTACCATTTCAGGTTCTCATTATGAACTACAGAATAGTTACCTGACTGGTCCACTTCCCTCTTGCCCACCTCTACTCTCACCAAAAAAAACATTTAGGAATGTTGTTCTGAGATTGAATAGCATTGCAAAAGAACCAGACTGAGGTGAAAAGTACCAGCCCTGGAGAGGCTGTAGGCATCCCTGCATTTCTGCAAGATGTCTGAGAATTTCAGGAAAGAATCTACTTAGTTACCAGAGGGTTTGTTGGTAGAGGCCACAGAACTGGGAATGTACAGTGATGGGGTCAGAAGAGAGGTGACAGGGCTGATGTGGGGGCTTGGAGGGCCTGGAGATGTGAGTTACCAACAGGGAGAAACAGGTTGGAACCAGGGAAGAGGGCTAGGCCTGGAGACATAGCCTGGTTCTGGTCCCTGTGTTGCCACTCACAGATTGAGGAACCTGGTGGGCAAATTTCACAAAGCCATCTCTTTGGAACTCTCCTTTATTTATTTTTCAAAAAGGTTAGCTGGAAAGCAATTTGGTAATGTCTACCAAACTTGAGAACACATATACCCTTGAGCCAAGACATTCCATTTCTAGGTATTTATCTTATACATATGCTCATAAAGTGCACAAAGATTCATTGCAGTCTTGTTTGTAATAATAAAGGACAAAAAACAATATAAACAAATAATATGGCACATCCACACAATGGAATGCTATATAACATCAAAAATAATGAGGGATGAAATGACTTTTGATACACAGTTAAGAAGAAAAGCAAGATGTGGGACAGTTGTAGAGTGTGCTACGAGTGAGTGAAAACCAAGGTGGATGGATAGACATCTACATTCCTATATGCACAGATTCTCTCTGGAAAGAAATGCAAGAAAGCAAACAGGGATAGCCTGTGAGAAGGTGATCCAGTGGCTGGGGATGAGAGAGATTTGCTTCTACTATGTACTCCTTGGTGCTGTTTGGATTTTTTTTTTTTTTTTTACCATGTGCATGTACTACTTTTGAAAAAAAAATATGTCAAATAAATAACTGAAGGGTGTCATCTCTTACCCTCCTGGGCCCAGTGGGCTGCCATGTGGACCAAATGTGCTCGTGTGATCTAGAGCCCAGTACTGCGCCAGGCAAACAAGGAAATCTTGCCTAACAACCATGCAACAAAAGAGCACTCAGTTTTAGTTCAATGCTTTCTCACTCTCGAAAGAAGTTCTGAGTTGTTCAGATGAAGAGCTCCCTGTGAGCTGTTAGGGCTGTTGTTAAAGCTGGAATCAGACAACCAGGCAGCACAACAGAGGAGCAGCTGGGCAGGACCTTGTTCCAGTTCTCAGCTGAAGGTCAGCTCAGCTCCCCGTGACTCCAGAACCCAAAGGGAAGGTGCATGCCACAGGAAGGTTTCATTCCCAACCATCTTTTCTTTTAGCTAGAGGATTTATGGTTGCTGTGTGTGTGATTTTCTATGGATACTTCAAAACAAGTTTTCTGGTTTTTTCCCAGGATCTACTTTTAAACCCGTTTTCACTGAGATTTAACAGATGCCCAATTTAACCATCTAAGGGAGGGGCTGGAAAGAAAATGCTGCGTGGTGCACACTGTTTTACAGCACAAAATGTCATTTATAAAAGAACTTTCAAGGGGCAAGTACTTTGTTTATTAGAATTACCCACAGGTGCCAAAGAAGTCTCTGGACTTAAGATTCTGGGAAGTGGCTAGT